GATCCAGCAGACCAGGTGAAGGAGGAGTCAGAGTCCTCAGTGGCTTTTGCAGGTCTTTTATTGGGATTTACCCAGTACACGGCAGGCAGGGGTGCTGGGGGGCCGGGAGGCTGGCAGTCCTCCCAGTCCCCAGCAAGTCTTCACTCTATCTGGGCTCTCTGGTGTTCTCTCTGCTTCTCTGCTCTTTTGTTCGTTCTGCCGCTTCTTGACTTCTCTTTCGGCTTCTTCTTGCGTCCCTGTGACGCCGCCCTTAAAAAGCACAGTCTCAGCCCAGGTGAACCCTATCTACATCTGCCTACACCCTATTCCAGGTGTCCGCCATCAGGGTTGCATTCAGGATCGCAAGGATCCATCATCTATCCTGATGGCGGGAGGGCAGAAAAGCCTGACATTTTTCCTTACCCTACAGGGGGCCTTCCTGGTGGCACAAGGGGTTAAGTCTCAGTACTATGAAGTTATCTATTGGCAGCCAATGGACCATGAGTTCGATCCTCGGCCAGAGAGCTGACCCACATGGCTCAGCAGACCTCTCCTGTCTCACTCTGCTCCCCTCGGCAGTGTATTTCAGTAGATCCATCTGTTCTGCTCCCCACTCTGTCTGAAATGAATTCTCTCATCCATTGCACCTATGGACTATACCCCGGCTCTTGTATACATAAATAAATAAATCTTTAAAATAAATAAACAAATATTTTCCCCCCTCATGTCCATGTACCCTAGTAAGGAGGCTTAGAGGCATGACCTCAGAACCCCATGGGCAGTTTCTGGGTGAAATATTCTGTCTCAAAGCTTGGAGAAATAAAGATCAGACACTCCTTCCCAAAGGGCCAACATTCACATTGAAATGGCTTCTGCTGCTGGCTTATGGTGACATACTGTGACTAAGCCAGGGTCACAATGAGTCACCCAACAGCAGGGAAGGCGCCTTTTCTCCCATCCCCCTTCCCCAGAGCAGGCCCATGTGTATAAAGTGGGTCTAGAAGAGGTATGTGATTTTTGTGAGACCATAACTCGGAGCCAACTGATTATTCTTTATTGTCTGCTTCCACCATTCTTGCCACCTCCCTCCCCCCATTCCTATTCCAGAGGTCTGAGGATACAACACAGTGACCATAGTTCTCTCCTAGGATTTCAATCCTGAATCCTCACAAGCTGCTGTGTGCTTCCAGATAAGGCACTTAACTTCTTTAAGATTCATCTGTAAAATGGAGGTAGCTGTAAAATACTGAACCATAAGGTTGTTGAGAGGATTAGGAGAGATAATCCATATAAAGGCAGTTAGCACTATGCCTGTGTAGGGTAAGGTAAAAAGTATCGGGCTTTTCTGCCCTCCCGCCGTTAGGATAGATGACGGAACCCTGTGGTCCCGAATGCATGCCTGATGGCGGGCACCTGGGGTGGGGTGTGGGCATATGTAGGTGGGATTCACCTGGGCTAAGACTGGGCTTTATAAGGGCAGCACCACGGGGACGCCAGAAGAATCAGAGAAGCAGAAGCAGAAGCACGAGAGAGCCCAGACAGAGTGAAGACTTGCTGGGGGCTGGGAGGCCTGCCAGCCTCCCGGCCCCCAGTACCCCTTGCCTGCTGTGTACCTGGTAAATCCCAATAAAAGCCTGCAAAAGCCACTGAGGGCTCCAGGACTCTCTCCTCCTTTACCCCGTCTGCTCGGGTTATAGAGATCTTGCTCCTTGCCATTCCTGCCCTTATATTTGGTGTAAGACGGCAAGATGATCCATGCAGATGGGTATGGAGCCCTCTGAAGACATGGAGGGACTGAGGAGTAGCAGACTGTGTTTGTCTGTGACAACGCTGGGCGTGTCATGGCGACACAGGAGATGGACAAGGTCTGGGAGCTGCAGGACGACACCTCGCCTGGAGGAGGTGACACCCTAGAGTACCAGCCAACAACCCTTGAGGCAGCAAGAATCATCGGGGAAGAGAGGGCCTCGATTCGGAGCTCGCCAGTGTGGACAAAGGGAAAAGCGAATGAACTTGGACTAATGGACTAATAATCCTGCCAGAAGGTGGAGGAACCTTGGCAGGTGACATTTTGGGAACCCTGAGGGTGTATGGTATCGTTTAAAATTAAGGCATGGCCAGTGAGCCTTGGTATAAGAGCCCACAGTTGGCTGAGGAAGGAAGCTCTCGGCAAGTTCTTTGCAGCCAGGCAGAGGAAAAAGCCAATTTAGAAAGGCAAAAGCTGATGCGGAGATTTGGAAGCTATGAGCGGCTGTTAAGCAGCCTAAGTAAGCTCAAGAAGGCCAGTGAGTCTCTTAAAATCACCTGTGGGTGATGCCCTGCTCATGGTTGAGTGAGGGTGAGGAGCTGAGGAACCCGTCCTTGAGGGATTGGTGAGGAACGTGGCTGGTGGTGGAGCCCAAGCCGAAGAGGGGACCCAAGAGAGGCCGCATGTGGAGCTTGTATCCACAGATCCCTGACCCGTGTGCGTGTGCAATGGGTTGGCCTGAGTGCAGGGGTCTGTGTGTCGCATTGGTGGCTATGAAAGCCGAGTGTTGGAGTAACTGCAGACAGAAACCCTGAGGGTTGGGCAATTACCTCCAACGGTATAGAATTGCCAGTCCAAGAGTGAGTGCCTCCTGGGGGTGGATGGGGTATGCGGCCTGTGGCTTACACTACAGCTGGAGAAGGCCAGGAAGCCTGATGGCTCCTGGCGTGTGACAGTAGATGCCGTGAGTGGTTCCTCTCCCTCGTATGAGCAGTGCCTTCGGTAGCAGATTTGGTGGATCATCTGCTGGTGTCAGTAATCGTCTTTTGCCACTAGGTTGGTGCCCTGCCTGGACTAACTTGTGTTCTGTTGTATTTTGTTGTTATATTGTTATGCATACTATTTGCTTTTGTAGGCCATGGCTGCAGTGTTCATATTGCTAAGAGAAACGTATATGACTTGTATAGACTGTTTGGCAGAAAACCCTGAGAGGGTGGATTGTAGGGTAAGGTAAAAAGTATCAGGTTTTGGGCCTCTCCTGGTGGCGCATCGGTTGAGAGCTGGCTGCTGGCAGCCTCTGCAGCGCTATTTCTATCCCCGGCCGCCATAGAGGGTCCCACACACACACAAAGTATCAGGCTTTTCTGCCCTCCTGCCATTAGGATAAATGATGGAAACCTGCGGTCCTGAATGCATGCCTGATGGCCGGCACCTGGAGTGGGGTGTGGGATTCACGTGGGCTAAGACTGGGCTTTTAAGGGCAGCGTCACAGGGACGCCAGCAAAAGCAGAGAAGCAGAAGCAGTACCACCAGAGAATGCCTGAGAGCCCAGACAGAGTAAAGACTTGCTGGGGGCTGGGAGGCCTGTACCTGATAAATCCCAATAAAAGCATGCAAAAGCCACTGAGGGCTCCAGGACTCTCTCCTCCTTTACCCCGTCTGCTCGGGTTATAGAGATCCAGTTCCATGCCATTCCTGCCCCTACAGCCTGGCAGCTAGTATTTCTGGAATAAGAACGTAAGTCATTATAATAAAACATTTATGCCACTTAGACTAGATACTTGACTTTTGAGGTCTAGCTTGGGATGCTTAACATGCTTAACAATGAAAGATCATGATACAGTAGGTAAGAACTGCTATGGAGATTAATAAAGGACAGTACTGTAGATGAAGACAGGAAACGTGGTGGTCAGAAAAGAGGACACATTTTATTTTTTTTAAAGATTTATTTATGTATACAAGAGCTGGGGTGCAGGCTAGAGATGCGGGGAGTGAGAGGACTCACGAGAGACAGAGTGGGGAGCAGAACAGGTGGATCTACTGAAATCCACTGCTGAGGGGAGCATCAGGTGAGACAGGAGAAGTCTGCTGTGCCATGTGGGTCATCTCCCTGGCCAGGGATGGAACTAGTATTACAATGGTTGAGGATAACTGCAGTGCTGAGACTTAACCCCTGTGCCACCAGCGAGGCCCCCAAGGGGACACATTTTAAGTCTGAGATCCTGAAAAGAATTGAAGAGCATTCCAGGAATACAAGGCTCAATATGCACAGGTAAGATGATACTGCAGTCCTGTTTTATGCTGTGAGCTCTACTTGGCATTTTTTAACACCCGGAGACTGTTAAAACTTCACACAAAGTAGCAACAGATTCAGAGTTGTCATTTAGAAAAGCACACTGGCAGATCTGTGCAATGTAAATAGGGACAGCGTCTCCATAAAGGAGTTGCCAGCAGGAATACCTATATAACTATGGAATATAGAACACAGGTAGAAATGATATTGATGGCAGGGAGAGACAGCACACGACAATGAGTTTAGAAGAATCTGGGTCGAAGACTTGAAAGCAATACTTGTACCAGTTTTGGCACACTCTATTCTCTTTGTCTTGACTGCCCTTCTCCACCTGGACAGTCAATATTCAGCCACCTCGTTTTGATCCCACCACGGATTGGATGAGGGGGCCCTGTTCTGTGTTCCTAACAACCCCTGTGCCTTCCTCCATTACAGCACTTGGCATTCCTTTGTTATCTACAGTTTCCTGGTTCCTCCCACATGTCTGCGAATTCGATGAGGCAAGGCCCTTGATTACCTTTGCACCTGCCAGACAAATGTGCTGTCAATAAGAGTGAATCAATGAAAACAAAAAAGTCAGCCCACCTGGGAAGCATCTGGAGAAACCATAGGAAAAAGACCAACATCTCAGTGAGCCCAGGCCCTGGGGTCACATCATCCTTCCTACTCCAATTCTGTTTCGGAGTCATTGCCTAAAAGTCCTGGGTCTTCCAGGAACTTGAAGCCCTTTGGGGCAAAGAAGCCCCAGATCAACAGCGCAAATACAAACCCCTGGGGACCTGGGGCTGAGGCCCCACTCCATGGCTCTCGCCTCTACCCCAACCTCTGCAGTTCCGGCCTTCGCCAGGCGGCGACGCCCATGAGTCCGCATGCGCAGTGCGCCCACGAGAGGGTCCCCTGCCCTTCTCCCAATGGCGGGCGTCAGTCCCCTTCCCGGCATCCTCCCTGGGGCAGGGGGCGCGTCATTTCCGGTGGGGAAGGCCCGCGGCCGCCGCCGCCATTTCGGGCGCTGCTGTGAGACTGTGACCCGAGCCGGTCCGCTGGGCGGCGGGCGCCGGGGCTGGAGGGGCGCGCGCGGCGGCGGCCCAGCGTGTAGGCGCCGAGGCGGCCATGGCGGGCAACTTCGACTCGGAGGAGCGGAGTAGCTGGTACTGGGGGCGGTTGAGCCGGCAGGAGGCGGTGGCGCTGTTGCAGGGCCAGCGGCACGGGGTGTTCCTGGTGCGGGACTCGAGCACCAGCCCCGGGGACTATGTGCTCAGCGTCTCCGAGAACTCGCGGGTCTCCCACTACATCATCAACAGCAGCGGCCCGCGCCCACCGGTGCCACCGTCGCCCGCCCAGCCTCCGCCGGGTGAGGGACGGACGGGACGGGAGGCCACGGGCGGGGGTGAGGGCCTCGGAACTCCCTTGCTGGCCGCTGCTCCCTGCAAGCTGACTCCCACGAGGGACGTGGGCAGAAGGTTGGAGTGACCGTGGCAGGGGGTAGCCTGTTGCCAGGACCCATTCCCACCGTCCAGCGGGAGCATGTGGGGGAGGAGGAGCCCTTGACCGAGGCTTCTGGGTGTGACTTGGGAGGACAGCCCAGGGGAAGGGGAACTGCTTCGGCCCCAGGGTGGGGCTAGCGTCCCGGCCGGGCACGAGGGCAGGGCTAGGCAACGTGGGGACAAAGAACTGAGGGGGATGTTGGCACTGCGGGGGCATCACTTGGCAGCGGTACCCAGAATGAATCCGATAATCCTACAAGTGGCTTTCAGACTTGAAACATTTCCTGCAGCGTTGGAGAGCCGGGTTTTGGCTATACTCCCCTGGTGGCCTTTGGTAGGAAGTCACCACATACTGACTGGGAGGGATGGAGACACCCTCAGGAAACCGGTCAGCCTTTTCCTTTCTTGGGCATTTTTCCAAAATACTTTACCGTTCTCTTCCCCTGCGGAGAATGAAGGTGATGAGCTAAGTGCCTTCGAGATAGAAGAAAGCCCTCTATGGCCTGCTCAGAATAAATTGATGTCCAGCTGTGGCCAAGAGATCTTACTGTGCAGAGACTGCCCCCCACAATTAGGGGGTTCTAGTTTTCAAAGTGTTCAGTGGAGGAAAGATTTTTTTTTTTCAGGAAATAAACTGATGGAAACAACCCCTTTGCTAGTAGTGAATGGAACTTCTTTTTTCCTTGGTCTTAACCATTGCCAGTCTTGTGCTTCAGGGCCTCTTTTGCTCAGTAAGTTGCTCTGTGCCTGGGTACTCCTAGATATGGGGAACAGATCCTGCTGGCAAAATTTTCTGAGAATTTAAATTATCTGCCCTGGGTCTTCTTTGACCAGGATCATTGAGATATGACTGTTTTAGCCATGCCAATGGTGTTGTTTGGGAAATGTTAAGGAGATTTATGCACTTAGTTCTTGAGACTTGGGAGATACAGAGTAATTCTGATGTTACCATTATCTGTGTAACAACAGCATCAAGAGGTCCTGATGCCTTCTCACTATTCCCAAGGTAATAGTGACCAGCTGAGGCCAGAGTCAGTCTGGTGTAATTTAAGAAACCCCTGAGCTAGCCTTTGCAGACTTGACTTTTAGGATAGTCCTAATTTAGATTTATCCATCTGAACAGAAATGGGGAGACAAGACAAGTTTCTTTGTTAACACATAGCGATTTTTAAAAGCGTGGGATCTTTAAGTCATAGGTTACTCTAGGTCTTTCTCAGTTTGGTTGGTTTTATAGCATGAGGCAGGAATTCTGATGTAACATGTATGCCCTAGACCAAATAATATTCTGCTTTTACTGGTTTTGTATTTCATTGCAGTGACATGATGGCAAAATAGCATTGAAATTCAGTTCTCAGTTTTTTGCTTGTGTATTGGTAGCAAATTTTGGAAATGGAAGCAAGCAGTTTTGTTAGTTTGAGCTTTCTCCACATCTTCGGCATTATGACCTTATGTCAGTGCTTACCTTGATACTGAGCTCCACCTTTTCATAACAGATAAAAGAGTTCAGATCCTCAGCCAATGAGACAAGGTAAAGATTGCCAGAGTTTGTGGATGGGGTGTGGAAAGTTCATGGGTATTGAAGTTTTCTGCTATGCACCCTATTCTCCATTTAGGGCAGTTGATTCAGCTGTTGTCTTTATAAAGATTACTTGATCTTTGTTTCTCGCTCCCTCTTCAAACATTTTTCTTTTGAAACTGCACAGAGGCCTTTCTTGAGTTGTAGAAAGGCATATACAATATTAATAACTAACATTTGTCTACCAGTTATTCTATGCCAGGTATTTAATGAGTATTTTATGTGTTTTATCTCATTCCCTGGCTATAACAACCTAGCGAAATAAGTACAGTCATCTTCATTAAATAAAATATTTCCATTTTACAGATGAGGAAACATTCAGTAACTTTCCCAAGGTCACACAGCAAGTGAATACTGAGTCAGAATCTGAATCTAGGAACTCTGATCTGAGAGCTTACACTATTACACTCTTTCAAAGCCAGTTTCCTTTTGAGAGCTCAGGCCGGCACAAAGACTCAACATTTTTGTCTTTGTCCTAGGGGCACAGGTTCTGTTTAAAGACTAAATGGACAGGATGACAAGAAAAAAACTCACTTTAGCATTTAGACAATACATACCTGCTATTTAAAGTTAATGATGGGGGGCCTCCCCGTGGCACAGCGTTTTGAGCGCTGGGTTTGCGAAGCTGCCCGCAGCCTATGCAGCGCCGGTTCGATCCCCGGGGGATCCCCGGCTGCTCCCCGGCCACCGGAGGAGGGTCCCACATGGTGCGCAGACCTCTCCTGCCGCCTGCTGCTCCCCTCAGCAGTGTACTTCGTCAGTCTGCCTGTTCTGCTCTCCGCTCTGGCTCTGGTGAATTCTCTCACCCTCCGCGCTTCTGACTGTACCCAGAGCTTGTATAAATAAATATAATAAATAAATAAATCTTTTAAAAAAAAAAGTTAATGATGGGGCCTCCCTGGTGGCACAAGGGGTTAAGCACAGCACTGTGAAGCTATCCCCAGCCTCAGCAGGCCTGCTAGGGAGCTGCCCACATGGCTCAGCAGACCTCTCCTGTCTAGCCCCCTGCTCCCCTCAGCAGTGTATTTCAGTCAGTTTGCCTGTCCGGTTTCCCGCTCTGTCTCTGGTGAATCCTCTCACCCCCTGCACCTCTGGCCTACATCCCTGTTCTTATATGCATAAATAAATAAATCTTTAAAAAAATAAATGCTGAAGAGACTTTAAAAAACCTTGTTTAGCAGGCTAAATATGGAAATTGAGTGGGTTTTTTTTTTATTGTATAGTATATTTTGTGAACATAATATGAAATTTATGTGGAATGGCTTAGGTACAGTTTTTAGAGACATAGGGGTAGAATAGGCCAGGTATTCATAACCTTTTCCAGTGAAAATTTCAGCTTCTGCAGGCTCCTGATGTTACCATAGTCTGAAAATGCCTTAGCTGTGCCCCATTCTGCTAGTTGTACTCTGTCAGGTTAGACCTCTTGAGGATGCTGTACAATCACTGATTCCTTAGTGTCTTCCCCTTGGAACAGTGGGCTCTTACTGGACCTTTACTAGTAGATGACAAAACTGTGAGTTGGGAGAACAGTTACAGACTGGAGCGCTGGAGTTTGGGCCTGAATCTCACCTGTACCTCGTACTTACATAACTTTGAGCAAGTTCTTTTTTTTTTTTAATAGAGGCATGTTTTTATTTATTTATTATATTTGTTTGTTTGTTTTGTTTATACATGCACTGGGTACAGTCAGAAGCGCGGGAGGGTGAGAGAATTCACCAGAGCCAGAGCGGGGAGCAGAGCAGGCAGAAGGACCGAAGTACACTGCTGAGGGGAGCAGCGGGCGGCAGGAGAGGTCTGCACACCATGTGGGATCCTCCTCCGGGGCCGGGGAGCAGCCGGGGGTCGAACCGGCGCCACGGAGGCTGTGGGCAGCTTCGCAACCCAGCGCTCAACCGCTGCGCCACCGGGGAGGCCCTGAGCAAGTTCTTTTACTTCTCTGTGCCTTAGTTTCTCATCCATGAATAAGGGGAAATAGTAGTAATGCTGCTCTTATAGGATTGTTGTAAGGATTAAATGAGTTTTAGTGTATTAAATGCTTAGGAATGGATTTAGCTTATAGTAAGTACTTGATAAGTATTAAATGTATTAATCTTATGAACATAACAGGATAGGGGAGGAGTTGAAGCAAAATAGATTAACAGCCTTGAGAGGCTCACAGGCATACCTGGTGTGGGTTGGTGAGCACCATATCTTAAGGAGTAAGTGTTGGGCACAGGAAGTGGGGTGCATCAAGAAGTGTGACAGGACCTCACCTCAGATCTAGTACATGGAAACAGGGTGGTGCCTGCTGTTAGCTGCTCTGCCCAGACTGTTCTACCTATTGCACTAATGAGTGATGGAAGCAAAAGCTCATCTCTTTGGGGGTAGAGGGAGGGGCAGAAGCAAGGGTGGTAATTCTCCTTCCTCTTCAGGGTGATACTGGACCAAACAACCTATCTGGAGATCCTGTGGGACTGCTGGTTATCTACTGCTGCCTTTTTGTGATTTCAGGCTTCTGTGTTTTGTTCACTCCACATTGTTGCAGTACTCACACTTGGTCCTCATGTTTTCCTTTTCAGTAGCATATTAGAGGTTTTCCCTACTGTCTAAAAGCAGAACATTCATAGTTGGTATAGTTTGATAGGTTATTTTTGAGGTCTGAGAATGCTGTTACCATTAAATTTTATGGAAAAAAATTATTGAGTATTCTCAGACCTGAAAAGAAGCTAGCCAAAAAGGAATGTTTTACTTTCGGTTAGTGGGGAAAACCAATATCTCTCAAGGCAGTAGTTGTAGAGAAATACTTCATTAAGTTACATAATCAATTTTACACCCCCCAAAAAAATTTCATAGTCAAAGGCAGTAGGTTTCTTATTGCAGGGCTTCTTTAAACCTTTACTTGTGAAGGCTTGTGAAATTTTCAACATGTCAGAGAAACTGATACAGGGTACTGGGTTTTCAAACCTGTTTGACCACAGAACTTTTTGAGCAGCATCCTGAGAGTTCATGGGGTCTTCTCTGGGGAACAGTGTAGTGGCTCTGGATTTGGAAATAAAGTGAAAATTTCTAAAGGAATATAGAGGTTTAAGGGGTTATTAAACTGAATTTACTTTTTGAGCACCTGTAATGTACCAACAGCTGTTAGGAATTTTCTTAGATAGGTATTTGGCCCCATGAGAAGTTAAATGACAGCTCATAAAGCTAGTAAAAGGTAGAGTCAAAATTCATCAAACCCTATCGGTCTGAATTTGCCAAGTACTGTGTTGATAATAATCACCATTTTTAGAAAGTTCTGTTTGTAAGATCATTTTG